CTTTTTTCTGATGCACACATCCGTCTGCTGCACTGCTCGGGCATCGTCGTTACTCCTCTCAAAGTAATGATGGGGAGAGAAAGTCATGCGTGACACCACCTTCCCATCAAACTATAAATCATCTGAACCTTATGATCTGCTTGCAACACAGGTATTTCATCGTTCACTTTCTGTGCAGTTGAGTATAAAACTCAAAATTATACTATTAAGAGCACTGCGTATAAGAAACAGGTCTGAAAGCTCGTATCAATTTCAATTGTATTGTTTGATCTTCTCTGTACTTACTCAGAGTTTGACTTATCCTGTAAAAATAAGCATACATTTTTAAAGTAAGGTATCTAAAAATGTAGCTTGTTTTTTATTTATTTATTTTATTTAAATAGTTAAATATATATATCTTGAATGTACTCCCTAAGTTACTCTGGATCTTTTTTTATCTTTTAATGTTTATTTGCTCCACTCTCTGACTGATGTTTTGTTTGACTCATGTAACATTTAGACCACACACATGTGACATCGCAGTTCTGTGACGCATTGTAAATACCAAAGTGTTTACCTGTTTAACCCCTTAGGAGCCTTTATCTTAGCGCACACAAATAGCGTCTTTGTGGAATGAATTTCCTTTCCTGCAGATCTTATCTTTGTAGCAAGACTTAACAAGGTCCTGCTGCAATATTCTACCTTTAGTTTTACTTACACACAGCCACGCACACGCACACTCTTGGTTGCTCTCACTCTATGGCTGTGCTGTATTCCTAGCTAAAGGCCAGGCATGTTGAAACTCCCTAGGTAAATACTGTAAAGGTGTGAGGATGAATGTTTTGCATAGCTGAAGGTCCTTAGCGATGGAATAACATGTTAATTTGTACAGCTGGTGGCTGCTTCTCAAACTTTCTGGCTGTCTTTCAATGATTGTCACGGTCGGGACCCGGCTTTCAGTTGCAAAGTCGAGTCTAATCAAAACCAGCAGTGAATGGACTGCATTAGCTATAGTAGTCACATGTGAACTGCCCATGTAATGTTCACGGCCTGTAAAAAGAGACAAGTGGAATTCCTCACTTTGATCTGTGAAAACATGCTTCACACAGAGAGATGTATGTGCTGGAGTTGTGTGTTTTTTGTTGTAATAGTTCATCCCTGTGCAAGAATGAGCACCTGCTGTATCCTTAAGTAATAACTGCCTCACCTAACAGGCAAACAGACCTGTGATGGACGGGTGTGTTGATAATGATGATCTGATGCTTTGAGATTTCTTTTGTGCTATTTTTGTTGCTGCAACACAGATATAGATATATAGATATAGATATATAGAGATATAGATATATAGATAGTAGAGGTGGGAATCACCATACATCCCACGATACGATATTATCACAATACTTAACGCACGATATGATATTATTGCGGGGTTTTTTTTGGGTTTTTTTTGTTTTGTTTTTTTAAATATCTGCGATATTCAGATTCTGTAAATAAAGGTAAACTTTATCAATATTCATTTTATCTAATATTAAAGTCTCGCACTCAGTCTTTCTCTCATTTCAGTCAGTTTGATGACAAACGGAACGGTTTGTATTACATACTAGTCCAACTTAACTGAATGCAACCATCTGGTACAATTATAGCTATTCTGAACTATGCAATTTATGAAAACTATGCATCCCCTTCAGCAACTGAAGAATTTGAAAGTAAATTAAAACAAAATATAATTTTACATTAAATAAAAAAGTTTTAAACTTAATTAAAATAAAACACGTCTTAAATTAAAATAAGTAAACTGTCATGTTTATTGCGGCCAAAAAAAGTTAAACACATTCGGACAGTGAAGGAATGTCAGGATTCTTGCTCAGAAAAAGGAGCTGATCAACATGCTCTGAAGTCAGAGCACAAAAACTTTTTTTCGTAACAAAATATCGTTTTCTGCTGTCCCTGTATCGATACATTATTAGCAAACAAAATATCACGATACTACACGGTATCGATTTTTCCCCCACCCCTAATAGATAGATAGATAGATTTTTTTTTTTTTCTTCAAACTTGAGCAACTAATGGTAACTCCCTTCAGCTTATATAAGGACTGACGAGTGTATGTTGCATCATGGATTGCATGGACTTAGTAGAGTGTGATGAACAAAACACCACCTCTCTCAGTTCGGAGGCTCTAAAGTCAAAGGAGTTACTAATTCCATGTACTTTAAATACAGTTAATCATATCAAATGATAAAAAGTAATTAGACAGGGCTCAATACTTAGTTATAAAGATTGCATGTTGTCAACCCTAATCATTGTTTTGCTCTTTTGCATTCGAGGCCTTATTCTGATTTTGCTTTAAGATCTAGGAAAAAACAAAACAAAACGAGAAAACAAAAAAACAAGAGTAAATAATTGATATGAGCAGACATGGAAGCGACCTTTAAATTACTAATGAGTTTAGCGTCAAACTTGTGACACTGGAGGATAGCTTTCCTCCTCAATGGCACATGCATGGGCACATGGGCACATAAATAAGATGTGCTGGAAAATTCAAGACTACAAATTTTCCACTTATGTACTGTGTAAATTGCATTTGTTAAATTAGTGGGTTCAAGCATAATCATTTTTGAGTCAGGCTCCCTGGTGTCTATACTTATTCTCATGTAACGTATTATTTAGTCTATCTGCTAACTGAATATCTTCTTCTGCGTGTCTGTTCGTAGGCTATATATGACCATGTACTTATTGCGCATCCTATATAAGTGGGTCTGCCACTACTATGTGTTTTATATGAGTTTGGCTGGGAACAGAGTGATATCCTCCTTCCCTGGCAAGCACTGCTGAGTCAGGTTGGGAGTATATAATTACATATGGGTATCCATCAGCAGTCAGAAAGTCTTCTTCTATGGCTCACCCGACAATATAAACTCCTGTGCTTGCAGGGCTCAGCTTGCAGGCACCCAAACCAGTCATCCTGAGCTGAGCTCTCAGTGGAGGCCAGCTTTGCTTGACCTCTCATTGGCTATGTGAAAAGGACTTTATTATCATTCTCACCATTAGCTGCTGGCTCTATGGGCAGATCCATGAGTCAGCGCAAACAAATATGTCCCCTGTAATGTATTCACCTCCCCTCGGCTTCCAGGCTTGAAGCAAATAAGTGAATGGCGACTGCCAAATCAGGTATGAGTAAGTATTCATCACAGTGCGGTGAATAATGCAGTATTGTTGTATTGCGGCCAGGCCTGTGTAAACTATTGTGGCCACGTGCTTATAGGTGTCTAGTTTATTGGCTTACAGTGAAATCCAAAATTGTGCCACGAGTTCTTTAAATTTCCAGAGTAGAATAATAAAAGCAAAACCTACTTTCTTGGGCCATCGGTCCATTTTGTTTTCATCGCTTTTCAAATTCATAATCGCGTTAGGATTGGAGCCTCTCCAGGCTGGTGTTGGGCGAGAATTTGTAATTTCAAGAACTGAATTTGAACAAATGTTCTTTGTATGACATCTACATATGCTCTTCCTCCCTTGTGGTTAAGGGCAGGTTACGATTTGTCACTGTGAGTGCTGCTGGTGATTCACGGTGAGTGGGATTTTACACTAAGTGCTGTTTTTACACAGTGTGACTGCAGGGGTATTGACTGCCAAGGGTGATGGCAAGACTCTGAACGGCCATTTCAAGGTGTCCTTCAAGTGGAAGTAATTGAGTTTAAGCTGTAAACTCTCACTGATCATCAGTTGCATGCTTAACGCAAGGACAGCTTGTATTTTATTTTAGATATATGTATGATGCAGTGAGTTGCACCGTCTGATTTAGAGTTAACATTTAAAAAAAAGCAAAGCAAATGACATAACTAATCTATATCAAGATCAACTTTTTAAATGTGTATAATCACCCTCATGAAGCTCATTTTAGCAGCTTTTTATAACTACTCTGATTCTATTAATACTATATTGTTTCCTATATTTGCCCTTGCAAAGGTTCTGCCTGTGTTAATGAACCACTGATCCACTTTCACTGAGATTTCACACTTGGATTAGGTAATCATTATAATGGAGAAGGCTAAAAGGCTGGAGTGACAGATCCCTGTATGGAAGTATGACAACCAAAGCTTATTAATGCTGTTTCTGATTCTTTTGTGCTCAGTCATTAGCATGTCAATGGAGTAGAAACACAGGCAGACAGGGGGCATTTTCAAAAGGGCTTGTCAGTAACAAGCACTTGGACTTTTTTCTGAGAAATATTTACCAAAATAATGTACTGTGAAAAACTGCATTATTCATCACGTGTGTTGAGGCTTCACTGAAGCTTTGCTAGTAGAAACCCAGGCAATTGTTCAGTCTCTAATCAGCAAACATCGTGTCTGGAGCCTGGCCCTGGACTGTGAGGAAGAAGTGTCACCATCAGTGTCACACATAATTTTACACATTAAATTAAATGTGACTTTGCAAGAGGAAACCAATGTTTATTCTCAAAAGTAGAAGAAATGTTTCCATGTGTCACTTACTGACCCTTTTTAGAGTTGCTTTCCTAGCACCTAAACAAACTTATTGACCACTAGAGAGGTGTGTATACATGGAAACTTTAGTGTTAATTTGTGCAGTAGAAGCCCTCACCCCTTGTAAATGTACAGCACTTTCCTCACAATACTCAGTGTGCCTCTGTCTGCTGCTGGCACTTGGTCCCTGCTGATAATAACTTATGCAAAGGAGCTGCTGGTGTCCGTTGGAGAATTTAGAAAGCGTTTCTTACATGTTTTCATCATGTAAGGTTTGGAAGGAGCTCTGTTAAAGATACAATCGCTGCTGATAAATACATGAGGCTAGGCTAGGCTTGTTAGCGTTATTAATTTAAAGCAACTCCCTGAATACCTTCTAATTGTGCCTGAAGGCTGAGTTGATCTGGGATTGCACAGATGTTTTATCCAGTACAGTACAGTTCAATCCCAGAGGCAACTTTTAGTTAAAAATGTGCAGGTGGAAGAAGAGAGATTTAAATGTATGGGTACTGGGACTACTAATGATTTTTTTTCTCTTTAAATTCAGTTGCTTTTTCCGTCATAGTTCTCCTGTTCAGATATGACCTATCATTGGCCTTATCAGTGAATACATGAACAGTTTAATGTGTAAATTAAGAACATTTCCATTTTTTACTTTGTATCCGTTGCAACTCTTTTGCAGCCAGTGTGCAAGACAATTGAGATTTCAACATGTAAAACCAGTTCTATTTGCTGAGGCTAAAGAACACTTTTCTGCCACTGTGAACAATTTTAGTGCTGTTCTCAACTGATTGTGTCATGGAACCTTTTGTTCTCATCTTTCTGTGCAACATAACCTGTGCTGACGTAGTAGATACTGAAAAATGAAATAGGAGGAGGTGTGACAAAGAATGCGAAACAAGGAAGCCAGGCAGAATGAAATAAAATATCTGTATTCCATTTTATTGGTGGTAACAGTGCTTATCTGTGGTAACACTCCAGAATGGCAGTAAAAGCTGGTGTGTCAGACGACTCAGCGATGCCAGAGGCCACAAAAGAGACAGCATTGTCTGCTGAGTGTAGAACCAGAGCAACAATAGTCTCTCTGCAGTTTAGATGAGACCAGGCTGTTCTGTGCCAGCGTGTTTCTGTCTCTTTGAGTGTTTGTCTTTGCCAACCTGGAACAGAGTGGCACTGAGGGCCTAGCTTCTCCCAGTACTCTTAATTGTCCTTTAACAACAATATTTATCCTATTATATACATGTAAAGCAGCGTGGGACAGGGTCTTATTTCCCCTGCGTATACTGATAGGGATAAATGTTTGCATGCATTTGTTGCTACGATCCATTGACAAATGCGATGTAAACTCTGCCCTTTACTCCTGCCATTGTTCCTCAGACTCGTGTTGCTGCCCTTACTCAGAGCTGGAGCAGATTCTTATAAAGATAAGCCTACACGGTCTGTCTTCTTTTTGTGAACTCCCAAACATATACAGGCATGCATTCCCAACCTTTGACCACTGCATGTGCATGACACAGGGTTGTGTACTGCCCCTGCACACACACTCACATTCATATTACACAGCCACACGTAGCCTCGAGCATTTAGGAGCTCTAGTACATTATTAACCCTGCTTGGAATTTTTCTGCAAAGCTTTTGTTTCCGCAGGTTTCCTAATATTGTGTATGACTAACAGAAATGACTTGTTCAGACCTTTAGAAAGGAAATTGAAGGTTAAGGTGTGTCTGCCCAGCTGCATCAAACCAAGTGCATTGTGCTTGAGTGTCAGCTTTTATGTCTTTACATGTCTTGTGTGTTTATATGTATGTAGGAAAAAAGGGGATTTGGAGATTGGGTGTCTTTCAAAACACTTGATTCCTGTCTGAGCAGCCTCAAATGTTTGAACTTTAGGGGGGTTTTTTTGGGTCCTTGTGACGTAAATGTCGTCATCGGACCACGACCAAGGTGGTCCATTGACAGCGTGGACTCGTTTGTGGAGAATTTACATTACAATGCACCAACTACGCATGCGTCCAGGCAGCAAATTTCAAGCGGACTTCAAAGAAGTATAACAGGAGTGGCTAACTCGGTCTTCTGGTCTCCCGCTGTCCGTATATGCAACCAAGTATAATCTAGGCTTTAAGTTCCCATCAGTTCACAGCTTGAGACAGATCAAGCCTTGTGTATTTGCAGTGCTGTGATAAAAGCCACTTTTTCTTTTAGTCAAATTTACAAAGCAGATGGGAGACCTGTATTGAAGAGATACAAACAGAGGCATAGACAGGGTGATGAAAGACACAAAGCAGGTTTGCTAGATGGATGAGTGATAATAAGGGTGGCACATTTTCTCTACCACTCTCTTTTTTTTAAAAACTGTCAGCATTTTTTCTTACATATTCGTTGGCTTTCTCATTTATGCACTGTCACTGTCTTTTTTTATCTTTCATTTATATAAAAATGACTTATGTGTATTCCTTGTGAAATTCACCAGATGAGCTCCTCAAGTGGCTCTTTTGTGAGTGTGTTCTTATCTGAGCTTGGAGTCAGAGATTATTGATTACTGTTTATTTCTCTTCAGGGGATTTGTGACTGGTCAGAGTTTCAGTGAAAATTGCAACCAGTTTTTTGTCATGGGTAAAGTAAAGTTGGGTATGTGGTGGTGTATTATATATTTTTTTCCATTAGAATTGGATAGGGTGGGTCAATGTGAGTTTAAGGTGTACGGTTGGAATTTAATTCCCATGTGGGGCCAAAACTGATTCGTAACACTAAAAACATTTACTTTTCTGTTGCTGCAGCAACTACACAACAGGAGAGTCACTTCCTACATTTAGAATGAGTCACGCGGATTCATTAACCTTGATAGTTTGCCAAGTGAAGTGTTGGAGAATGTTGAGTACATTTAAGCTTAATTATTTATGTTTTCGTTGTCTTTTATTCCTGCTGATTTACAAGCTTTTGTTGTCCTTTCTGCCTTATTAGGTATAATAGTGAAGTAATAAAGCTCACAAAGTAAAATAAATGAAGGATGACTCTGAGTGATTGCCTTCACACCACCATCTGCTCAGCTGTGAATGCTACTCTGCTGCATGTGCTGCCAGACAGTCCTGAGATTATTGGAAACAGTGGATTTACTGCCTGAATAACTATTGCCAACTGGACTCTGTTCTACAAGACACACATAAGATGCATATGTCAGGCAATATATAAGGCAGCTGATATCTGTAATAGGCTAAAATCAGGCTCTAGCATGTTTAGAGGCTCATAACATGTGCACAGCAAACTGCAGCTGGTGTTTGTCCGTAGCATTTGCATATTTATGTGTTATATTTTCAGTGTATTCCCACTCTTTATCTGTAGTGATTTTAGTCCATGTTTTTTATGGTACCTTTGGTTCTCCTCCTCCTGTTTTTCCACGAGAACTGACACAGGACTCCAGAGCTGTTCTGAGAAAATGAGCTGGGTCAGGCGGATGTCTGGTTGTCAGTGTTGCTCTGCCTTTGACAAAAAGAATAGACAGCAACCTGAGACTAACAGGCCCGTTTGTTTCCTGTTAGTTTATCACATTTCACTAGCCAGGAGGTAGAAGAACTAAATATCATGGGAGAGTGACATTCTGTGCTGGGAGATGTTTCTGTGTTTGTATTCTCATTTAATCTGATTGTTATGGTGCATAAAAATCTTGGATGTCTAATGTAGGAAGTTTTAGATGAGGTGCTGCAAAGAAGTTGCAGAATAAGCCTTAATGTCAAGAGCTCAACCTCTCCTTTAGCTCAGTTTCTGTTTCTCTCAGGGTTGTTTCCGATCCATGATGGTGCCTTCCTATAAATTAAAGTTTGGTTTCCAGCCTTTAGTTTTCATTCCCATGCTTGAAAATGAATGTTTCTTCAAGTTCATATGTATGTGTTCATAAAAAGCCTCAGAGCTAAAATAAACGATTGTCTACACATTCTGTCAACCTGTTAAGCTTGATTGTGCATTACAACATAGCACACCGTGTGCCCACTCAAAGAAGAGCGTTGACATCTTTGCTTGCGTTGACATTTCTGGCGTTGGAGTTTGATAAGCACTCCCTTTTTCATATCAGGTTTCATTCCAGATGAAATCATCATACACGTTTCATTCAAAATAATTTTTACCTCATGTGATCATCCATCACTATCTCCCGCTTTATTTCCTATGATCTCATTGTATGTGATCAATCTCTAAGCTATGTGTTTTGGTGCCACATTCTGGGATGCTGTTGCCACATCCATCGGGTCTGTGATGCGGTTTGGATGCCAAACAAATGGTAAATGGCCTGTATTTGTATTTGCCGGGGAGCAGAGTTCTTGTTTGGCATCTAAACAGCGCAGAAGTAATGGTGGTGTGGACCAGGCAGGTCAGAGGAAGGGTGGGGCGAGGTCTTTGTTACGAAAAACAGGAATTCTTCTGGCTGGAAGATGAAGTCAGTGCATTCCTCCAGAGCAGCTCCCAATAGTCAGTGGAGCATTGAAGGAAGGCCATGGTGAATGCTGGGGCTCAGTTTTAAACACCTCCCATTGAAAACCAGAGAGACAGACAGAAAGAGAACACCATCTGTCACACTGTTTGGTAAAGAGTTGCCTTTTACCCACCTAGGCTACACTTGCTGTGCCAAGTCCTTACAGATAACTCTGCCTGAGGCCTTTTTATGTGTACGACAGTGTTTTATTACCTTGTTTTGAAGTGTAGCTGTAAAAGTACAGACTGACAGCAGGACTGCACATAATGAAATTTCTTTAGGTTAAACCGGCTGCCTGGACGTGTTTTAGACTACCCGCTGATCAACTGTGGAAGTCTGATGAAACCTACTTGTGGTCCTGCTGAGGCCCGTCAAACTGAACACACGTACACATATTTGTTCCATCTCTCCTGCTATGTTTCGTACTCTCCCAAACACCCTCTTCAAAACATAGACACACTTGAGTTGCTCCACTTTCCCTGTCTGTTCCCCTCGGCACTAAGCTATCATAACGGCTTTGAAGGAGGGCAGCAGAGCGTTTAATTGGGTTACAGATTGGCATTTATGCTCCCAGGTCCACACGATACTGCCGGGCTTTTAACTAACCACTGGGAACTTAATAAAACGCCACAATGCTGTACCCATCAGCTGCCAGTCTTTTCTAATTCCATGATCCATGTCTCAGCACAGCAGATTTTGGATGTCAGTGCTGTTTGTTGTATAAACTGGTATTTCTACAAAACGTACAGTAAGTGAGGGCAATATGTACTGTACATCAACGTTTCGATGCATCATGTTTAGGTTATCAACAAGTTGTGTCCCATATGTTGGTGTTGGATTACATAAGCACATTGAGCTCACGTTTTTGTTTGCTGGGTATTCTTGTTACTTTGAGGAAACTTTGTTACAGTAGCACACCTCTTACTTTCTTCTCTGCGGTTTAATTTTTTTTTTCACAGAGTTAGTGCCATGCAGTGGTAAGCTGAGGAAAGCCAAGCTGAACTGATCTGCTCTGAAGACTTTCTTACCCTTCACCCTACCCTATCAGTCCCAGATGGAGCTCAAAGTGTGGGTGGATGGAGTAGTGCGGGTTGTCTGCGGTCTGTCCGAGGAGACTTCCTGTCAGGATGTGGTCATTGCTCTAGCACAGGCCATTGGTAAGTACCTCAAACGTTGTCATCATTTCATGACACCAGCTTATCTTTAAGCCTGCTTAGATAAAAGCTTGGCATTTAGATTTTTATGCATACACAAACAAGTGTACTGAAGCATCGCAGAATTGCCCTCATCCTGTTCTTTATTAACCTTTTTGCTCTCCGCTGACCCAAATCAAGTACGCTGCTGGATTGTCAGCAGGTCAGTTTGAATTTGAGCCGGCACTCTGTCCCTATATCCTCCGGCTTTATTTGAGCTATACGCTGCGGTAGGATTGAACAGAACTCCAGTTTTAGCGCTCTCCTCCTTCTATGAGCAAGCTGCTTGCCAAGTCATTAGGGAGGGTTTGTCCTAATTTCAAGGTCCTTGTGGAAACTTCAGTTTATTTGAACATTTTTCACATGTTGTGTGGCTCTTACGCAGCTGCCTTTTATTCCAGTCCACAGAGGCAGAGATTTAGACGTATCAGCATCGTCATAATGCATCTGATGTCATTTGTTCATTATTTAGAATTGGTACGAGGACATAACCCCACAGTTTTATTAAAAATAAAAGAGAGAAGCAACTAAGGATACAAAAAATTTGACTGATGTATATCATTTTTTAGGAATAAAAATATTGGTGTGCTACTTCTTTGTATGGAAATATTTAGGGTAGGTTTTTTATAGTCACTCTTTATTTTTTCTGTCTTTGTCACAGGTCAGACAGGCCGTTATGTTCTTATTCAGCGTCTAAGGGACACAGAAAGGCAGCTGCTGGCCACAGAGAGGCCTCTGGAGTCTCTCGCAAAGTTGGGCCAACATGGCAATGAAGTTCAGTTCTTTCTACGTCGCACTGGCCCCAGCAGCAGTGATGGACCTGGCTCAAAACAAGAGAGACCTAATCCCCTTCCATTGCCTAAGCATCCTGAACCAGAGCCTTTGAAACGTAGCCAGCCTAAAAAAGCCCTGACCTTTAACTTGGGGCCTTCCACCTCTCCTAAGACCAAGGCCAAACAATTTAAGAGGTCTCCACGGGACTCTCCAGAACAAAGAGCCTCCCCCTCTCCTTCATCCAGCCCTCTGTCCCATCATATGTCATCCCCTTCTCCCTCACTACCTATAGGCCCTTCAAAAGATGAAGTATTCAGGAAAGTTCTTCAGCAACAGGAGAGACTAAGAGCCATTGAGGCCCAGTTAGAAGCCCTAGAGAGGGAGTCACACACCTGGGAGCGTCCCTACCCATCTCCATGTCCCTCACCTGTTTCTGATGCTCGTTTGCAAGACGAGATGGACGCTTTGGAGCAAGCAATGCGAAGGAACCAAGCAGAGCTTGCACATGAGCAGTACTGGGAGGAGGAGCTAAAAGCCGAGGTAGAAAGCGAGCGAGGAATGCGAAGGAAGCTTGGAGAGCTCCATACAAAGCTAGATGACTGTGGACGGCGGCTCCATGAATTCTCAGTTCGCTCTGCTCAGCTGGAGGAAGAGATCCAGCGGGAAACCCAGACACAAGGGAAAGCCACAGGACCTGAGGAGTCGTTTGACGCTGTAAGGGAAGAGTTACAAAGTCAAGAGAGACATGGGACAGAGCTAGAGGAACAGCTATCTGAGACTGACAAGGCTCTGGAGAAAGCAGAGTCTCTGTTGCAGGTAAGGAGAGAGGTCTGTGCTTTAGAAAAAGGGCTGTAAATCCACACAAGCCCTTCTGTTGTCATTTCAGGGGTGCAGTCCATACCCTTTTTTGTATTACTCAAAACAGTATTCATGTTATACACTCCAATAAACAGTACGTCACGAAGCCTGGTGCATATTGATGAAACTGCAGTAATATGATTGCTGAATGCTCATATTCTACCATGTCTGAAAGTGCTTCATTGTCATGAGCTATTTACAACCTAGCTTAACTGGTTTAGCAGGTATCATCTTTTATGTATCGCACTTTCTAAATACGTGGTTACTGACTGTGTTTATATTATGTCGGCTTATATATGCATATTGTATTGTTTATAGATTTAAAAAAAATATTAAAAAGATTTGATTTGTAGAACAAAAGCCTCTTTTATTGGATCTATTTCTCAGCCTCAGCGTGTTGTAGTTTAGAAAGTCAGTTTGCTTTTGGTTGTCTTAGATGTGGCTTCATCAGTTTGAAGTGAAACGTGTGTTTCCTCTATGATAGTGATAGTTCAGTTTTTCAAATCCTCATGCACTGAAAGCCCAGAGTGTCCCACTCTTTGTCCTGTAGGCCACAATAAATATCAAAATATATCGTCACTCATGCTAATGGGGATGCATTTGTCATGAAACATTTTGCTGCGGAACAGAGATGTCAGGTTTCTTTTTTTTGGGGGGGGGGGATTGTACATGGCTGTATAAAAACACCAGGTCATAACAGGTAACCAACAGCACTGTGAGTGCTTATAATCCAAAAGTAGCGCCAAAGGCATTTTGCCACCCAGACAGTAATTGTATGGAGGGAATGAGAAACCAGTATTTCCTGTAAATGAAATATTAACCTGACAGGGTATAATAAACCTCCATTCGTAGTAGTGGAAAGGGTCTATGTCAGCTGATCGGTTGAGGCAGCCAGCCGAGTCTTTAAAGTGTTGGTGGTGATGAGCACAGTGTTCCTGCCATCAGACTAATGGAGGAAGACCTGCAGGTATGAACTGCCTCACCAGAATGTTGTGGTCCAACATCAATTACTCAGAGACACACACTTATTGGCTTGTTTGTGTGCACCTGAGTTCAGTCTGCGAGCCTAAAGGTGATGCCACTGCTTCACAATGTTCTTGAACACCAGCTTTTCAGTAATCTGAAGGCATCTGAAGACAGATTTAAAGGGAAAAAGCAAATGAGCTTTGGCCTGTATCTATTTATAAGTTTGCATCAGGCTGCTTAAATCTGACTGAATCAGAAAAAGTCTCATGGCACTTGTGGTGATTTGATTATTCATTGCAACTGAAACTGTCTAGTGGTGACGTGATGGGCAGTAATCTTAATCAGTGACTGGAAGGGAGACTTTTAGAGTCTAGTGCCCCCTTGTGGTGAAAGCAAAAAACGTTCATTCATAAATGCAGTGATAAATTGTCCCTGCAATTGTGCAGACGGGACATATACCCACTACTAAACATCCTTAAATATGCATCCATACTTGAAAATGTGTAATAGTTTTATATGCTGCACCCACTTTCCTTTACAGGTAAAATACTTGTCTTAGATTTCTCTCACTGATCCACATTCTTCCCATTTCAGGACAAACAGGATGAGCTGGAGGAACTGAATAAGGAGCTGAGGCAGTGTAACCTGCAGCAGTTTATTCAACAGGCAGGTGTCCTGCCTGTTCAAACCAACTCACGCACAGAGCTTCAGGAGCAACTGGAGCAATTTCTACAGGATGGATACAGGGATGGAAGTAAGGAAACAAAACAATCCCTCAAATATTAATATTATGTTATGGTATACCTGATTTGTGTCATCTAAAGATATTTCTTCTTTTAACTCAGATCAGGGTGTAATTCAATTTGAATCTCCACCTCGTCCTACTGCAAAGCAGTTCCTGGGACATCCACGCAACCTTCAAAACCCTCTAGTGTCCAGCCTCAACCCTGAGGGTGTGTATGTGTGAGACCCCGCTGCTTCTCAAGTCCACAACCCTGCTCCTCTCCTGCCCTGCTCTGTCCATCCCTTGGTCCCAGAGCCCCTCACCCCTGCCATATTTTCTACCCCAGCTTGATTGGGTTTCGGGCTACTGCTGTCGTTTATGGTGTTGGGTAGTCGAAGCATCCCTATGGTGGCTGTCCCTGCTGCTTCCCAGCAGCTTTCCTCTGCTCTACATTTAAAGACATAAAGACCTCTATGGCTAATTTTCAGTCTTCTGCAGATTCTTGTCCTCAGCTTTTTACAGTATTCTTAGAAGTCCATCCAATTTGTCACATATTCCTGTATGCTTTAACTTTTGTGGGTCTGTTTACTCTGTCAATTTCCCTTACTCCTTGTTCTCCGCATCTTACTATATGCTTCTGTACTAACAGTAGCTGCTTTTGTTATCCTTTAATGCATTTAGGGATTTGCTGCTAACCCTTTTCCCCTCCTCTGTAATAACAGAGTGGCCTTTCCACCCTCGAGTCAATAATCGACTATCAACAGCTGCTTTTCAAAGTATTTCCATGTAACACAGCAATCGCACTGGGAATTACTGTGGCAGGCATTCTGATTGTGTTTGTTGTTTTTGTTTTGTTTTTTTACTCTTGACATGAAAATACATGCCACCAATGTAATTTCAGTTTGCCTTTTATGTATGGATACTATTTATGAGAGGGATGTATCTATACAATGCCTTGTACTTTGGTGATGCTTGACCAAAGAGCAAGAGCCTTTTACGAGGGCTCTGCAAAATATATTGCACTGTCCCATTCTCTTCCCATGTGAAGCCTTGGTCCCTGTGTGCCTGCAAAGAAATGGTATCTTCCTGCTCTCTTTCTGGAGACAGTGAATTGTATTTGGTGAGCTTGTATCTCTCGCAAGTCCATTTTTGCCAAACTCCATGCTAAAAGAAGAGATTCATTTCAAAAGTAGTGCCACAGGACCAGGGTTTGTTAAGATGCTTTTCTTTTCCTCCACTGGAATGAATCCGCCTGGTTCCTTTGCTTTCGTCACACTTAACATTTGACCTGTCACAATTCGCACTGTTACCTCAGTGTGCTGTAGATTTAGGATCAGCTTAGTTCACATACGTAGGTTCCAATAACAATCATCAATCAAATAAACAATGGGAGCTATCATCCATAAGTGATCCTGCAAACCACCTTAAATCAATATTTATTGTGTCTTAGCACGTAACATCTCATTATATTATCTTTGTATGTGTCTGTTTGCTGACAGGTCAAAGTGACGTGTGTTGAAGTGTGCACTCTCTTTACCTTCTGCTGTGTGATGCGGTTTTCTTTTTGGGGTTATATCAATTCTCTCTCCTTTGGAAACAGACTGCATCCCAGTGCTTGTTATAGACACAGCTTGAAACTGCGTGTGTTCAATAATACTCATCTGACTGCAAAACTACAGTCATGGTGCTCAAGCCTTGTGGGAGCAGGAATGAACCCAGTGACTGGGTTTGGGTCTATCTGTGTTTCTCATAGGGTTATGTGAATATCTTGATTGACCCAAATCTCTCGTGTTGTGTCTTAGCTGAAAAGTGTTATTTTTTTCTTTCCCTCAATACAAAGGGATCATCATCCCCATATATTTTTGTGTCTTGCAGTCCTGACATCCCGAGACTCGTCATGGAGATAAAACATGGACCGCAGGGCCAAGGAAAAGTTGTTCACTGTTCTGTCACCATCACCTCTTATTTAACCCTTTCCTTTGTAACGCTCATTTATTTTTTCAATATACCATGATATATATATATATATATGTATATGTATATAAATAAGACAAATATATTTACAGAGTTTTCCTACTGTAAACACTGCAGAGTATCTGTATGAAATGTAAAATAATTAGGAACCTTTGACCTAGAGAAATTATTGCAATAACTATGTATTTAAATATAATAAAATGTCCACAGTGTTTTAGATAAACTTTTATTGTCTGACTGGTTTTTGCTACACTCCTGTTCAAATTTTATTACAGACATATTTCTTTAAATGGTGCAGTCCATTAGAATCCACTTTCTAAAAAGGACAGTGGCACACAGCATGCAAAATGCATTATGAATATATTATATGTACTGAAATATGCATGTTTTCCTCATAGCGGGTGGTACAGTACATGATGTGAGAGTACACAATAATTTCCAAAGTTCACAAAGCGCATCCTTGCTTGTCTATGCATCACAGCTGTTCCTGTTATGGATGCAGTCACACAGTGCATCTATATGAAACTAAAAACAGGAACAGGAGCATTGCTCTATGATCTGTTTAGCTGTAAATAATGTTGGCGTTCCTTTGACACTGATGATGTCAGTTTAATCAGTGGCTTTTCTTTTCTTTCCACTAGAGGAGATGCCATTGCTTCACTACAACAAGGTCAGGTGCATCGAGTGTCTTGTGTCGTTAAATTACAGACGTGCTAAATTATTATGCAATTTGTAGTTTGATTGTTATGTAATTTGTAATAAGAATCACCCTGTGCAAAAAGGCACGACACATTTGTGCTCCACCCCTTTCCTGTTTTGTTTACTCTGGAGGGTAAATATTCTGGCTGTCACACACTGAGTGACGCGAGCCTTCCTCTCTCTCCGGCTAACCCCCACCTGAAACCCTGTGGACGTCTATAAATACTCTCATGTACTGATACTCAGCAGGTATAATTACAGGGAGAGTAAATATTTTTCTTCTGTCTGTCCATTTAGGTGTGTCTATTAGAAACTGTGTCCATCCATCAAAAACATTGATGTATTTTTTTTTCATCTGCCTTTTCTGCTTTGTGCCAATTTTAATGACTTGTGAATTATGGAAAATTAGATGAGACTGCCAGTTTTGATATTATGATCAATTATGTGGAACTGGATTATCCTGAGAAGATTTAGAGCTGTCTGGCTTTGTAAGGGTTAGATAAGCTTCAAATCCTTGTTTAGGTCCCGGTGTCTGGACAAGCACAAGCCTCATGTGACACTGACGCCAACCTGTGGACATAGGAGGAATTACAAAATGTGCCCTTTTCCTAAAGGAACCTTTATAGTTTCCTTTCACTATATTAACAGTAATATTCTGATCTCTTCAAATTATGTAAAAAAGAAAAGTTGTTACTTGAGGACCCTTCACTTTTTTCTTTCTTTTTAAAAAAAGATTATCACAGGATAATGTTACGAATGTTCCCACACCCCAGACATCCCACGTGCAAAATGAGGCATCCACCCATTTCATATCTAAACCCTGAGGGCTCCAATCTCATAAGGGCACATTAACAGATTACGACTATGTTTTAGGACGACGTGCTGACAAAATCTTTTCTCATCAAACAAATGCGCATAAAAGGTGCTGCAAAGCTTAAAATTTGATTGCTTTCAGATATAAAAACTCATCAGCTCACCATGTGCATCGGGCACTGGTTGCCTGGGAAAGAACCTCCTTGGAATGGGAGTGAGCATCTGCACGTCCACACGTTATGATGATGAATGAGGCCATGAGTTAATGAGTCTGACATACTGCACTTATCTATTCCTTTGTGTCACTGTGAGTCATTATGCACTGATGGGGATAAAACATCCTCACACCAAGAAATGCACTACAGGGCACAACACACAGACAGTTGATTTGAGCAGAAACTTTACTTTGGTTACTTACAAGCATACATTGTACATACTGTATTGCTGCAATCCGTATGTATTTTCTTACACGGTAAGGTTGTGTCACTATATAGAATATAGTTATTCTATATATGGTTATAGTCTGATTACTGTGCATAATATTATCATAATATTGCATAATATTATCCATTCTGTCCTGAAACCGAGTTTCTTTATAGCACTGTTCATCTATTCCTTATGGGCCCAAAGGAACCTCTTGGAAGAACCCTCTGGAGGCCCCCTGACCTCAAATTGGTAACTGGCGAACGTGAACATGATCCAAACCCAACAGATGAAACAGAAACGAAACACTCACCAGGAGTCTCAAATGATGGCATTAAAGAGGAGGGAGTGCAAACGCCACACGGTCCTAAATAAGGTACTGTGTGAACATAGTAGGAAGTAGGTTACGGTACACATGGAGACCACTGGGAGAGCATTTATGTGCTCACGGGGCCACGATCAAGGGCTGCTTGTAAACAGGTGTCTGTCTAATCCGGCTCTGGCTGGGTCTCAGACGAGTCAAAAATATGAGAGGTGTTCCCAAAACCAGGTTAGCCGCTGTCACACGCACAGTGGAACTGGAAACTGGCACAATGTGCGTTAGTCAGTGGCTTACCTGCTTTTAGACTGCAGATTTTGGCCTCAAAGCGCGCACAATCTGTGGAGTAATACAGACAAACGCTGTGTCATAAACAGCTGAATTATTTAAAGTTATTACACACACAAAACGACACGATAATGAAATTATCATCATGGAATCTTCTATGGTTTCCTGGAAACTAGTCTCTTCCAGAATAAGACATTACACTTAGCTTCCTGCCCACGATTTATGGATTACGGAAATATATAATAATGCTTTCATTTTCAATTGGCATAAAAAAAAAGTTCCTAATTAACATATAATCACACGTGAACACTTGGCGACCCTAAACACAATATTACGCTGTTGTAACCAAATAGAACATCTAACGACATGCAGGATATATGTGGCCTGTTCCCCACACCATATAGTGAGAATAAAGAATAGTGGCAGATAAAGCAGAGCTACTTACCAGTCCCAAGTTTTCTTTTTGGAATATGTTTTTAGGAAAAATCTTGAAGTTTTCCCCCTACGTCCCAGTCTGCTCATAATCCGAACATCCAGCTAGTTTTTTCCTCTATTATAAATCTCAGAGCATGATTAAAGTTGGGTGCATTTAAGAATATAGTGTAGCCTACACCGACGCAGAAGTTCAATTCACTTGCACTACCCCTACCCTGCCCACTCCTCTGCATCTGCAACCCGACCTGGTTATTCAAATTAGGAAGAAGTTGACATCACGCTCAGCCAACGGGCTCCCGCGCTGGGGTTGAATGGCCCACCTTTTACGGATAATTGACCAATCACAGCCTGGGAGAGGCGGGGTTTTAGAAGAGCACCGTTCGGATGAGTTCTCCTGTTATAGTTGGGGTGCGGCGCGTTCAGTTTTGCACGTCGTACATTAGGAATGAACCATTATGTTGTTAACAGTTTCCTGCCCTGCTCGATTATTTATTGCGAGCATCAACGCCGAACAGGTTTCTTTGCCCTTAAATAGACATCATGTGATGCGACAGCTGCCATTGGAGGTGGCATATCTGTACTTTAGGCTAGTTTGATAAAAGACGCCCCTACCCCTACGATGTGAAGTGGTTGAACTCGACTCGCTTGTGTACAGTGTTGCCATTAGCCGAGTGTGGCTGAGCACGTACCAAGGATGCTGCATGACAGCCTGATCTGACGGTGACGAGGAGGTGGAGGAGGAGGACGACGGGGATAAACTCTCAATTATTTACGACGGGAGAGTTGAGGACTCCCTAACAAATGACATAATATCATAGCGAGTTAAAGCAATGTGATTGTGAACGACCCCCGATTAGATGACATTACCCCCCCCGCCCCCGCCCACCCACCCATATTTATTCATCGATTAATTAGTTGTAGTTATCTGTTAAAGTGAAACAATGTTACTTTGATGAATTAATCCATTTTTAAACTGTAACATGTTCTCTCTTTCCAAGATGTTATCAGACTTTTCGGTTTTGGAGTTTTCTTGTAATCAGTCTTAGACTGTCAGAGCGTTGTAGGATTATTCACAGCCAGGATACACATAACCCGTGACATGGAGTAGAAAATCAGGATTACGCACATTGCATTACGTAACAGTTGATTTTGTGTAAATTGGAGTTATCACTAGGGGGCGACAGAGTTTGGCGTTTCAATACAATCCGGCACAGACCCTCTTGGTGTTATTGCAGGTGTACCCCTCTATATTGTTATGAATTTGTGCAAGTGAACTTAAAATATCACCTTTACTATGGAGCGCATAGGCACGAACCAATAAAAATAAAGAAATCAGTTTTAAAAAGGGACGCAAAGCACTTGACCTCTCGTTGACCTCATGCCACTTAAGATGATGTGAACTTTAAACTACTGAAAAGAAGTACTGTTAAATCTAAAACAGCGTTTTTCTTGAAATGTCTTGTGGTTTATTACTGCCAGACTACACTGTGTCCATCATTCTGTATTTTTCTAATCATAATTTTCTGATTAAAAAAGAAGACCTCAAATAGACTACCACTCTGAAGCTGTTACTATAAAAACAGCTGCCTTGGTTTATTTGTTTATTTAGTATCTGGACATCTGAACTACAAATTACATTTGAACTACAAATTGTGCCAAATAATAGAGGTATCAACTCATTGGCCCTTCTATCATTCCCCTGCTACAGATCTCTCCTCTCTGGATGCTCGTGTATAACTCTATAACTTAATGTCTCTCCCTTGCATATTGTAGTGGACTTCAAATTCGGGTTAGGGTTATATTGAAAGAGAGCTGCTTTATGGTATACAGTTCTACCACCTAAAATCAGACCTCATGCAATCCCCATAGATTTTTTTAACACACTGTTTTCAGAAGAAATCTGTTTAAAATCGACACTGTAAGCATTATGCTTTCCTTCATGCTCCTCTGTGCTAGTTTCTGAGCTCCTACTCTGCACTGCTGTTGAGATGTTATTTTTTTTAAAAAAAGCAAAATTTTAAAACTAAATATTCCTATTTTGTATGTTTCTGTTGTGTATTTAATAAATAACATAATTAGGGCCCGAGCACCGAGAGTGCGAAGGCCCTATTGTATCTGCTCCGTTTCTT